CCCCTGAGCCTCTGGCCTGTACCCCAGTTCTGTATGCATAAATAAATAAATCTTTAAAAGAAAAAATTAAACTCACTGCATGTTAACATAAGCCACTCTACTCAATAGATTTTTTTTTCAGAAAGCAAAATAAAACGAGTGACATTAGATTATGTTTGTATGTATATATTTAACTTCTGACTTAAAAGGAGACAGCTGGGTTTTCATCCTTATTTTTGCATCCAATCTGTTTTTTTTTTTAATTGAAATATGAAGAAAATTTGGTTTCACAATGATACACAGTTGGGAAAAGAAGGAGTATTTCAATAGTCTTCCCTAATAGCTAAAGAGTCTTTGATACCACCCCGAACTCAACAAGTGGTAATTTCTTGAAGGTTATTTGTGGTGTAGAATCTGAAACCAGTTTTAATAAACTTCCATATTTTGTCACATTAAAATCCACTGGTGATCTGGACTTTGAATGGATCTTCTTCATTTTTTTTTTTTTAATGAGATAACTTTGGTTTACAGTACTGTGTATAATTTAGGGTAATAGATTTACAACTCTTCATGTGTATGCTAACATAATTTGTTTATCACCAAAACACCCAGACTCCTTCACCATAAACCACAGGGTTCCCTCCCTTTTCCTTCCCCACTCACGTATCACCACCTCCCTCTCTAGCAGCCTCAGTTCTGCAATCATATTTTGGGGTTTGTTCTCGAGGAGTTTTGTTTCTCTATAGTTCTACATATGAGTGAAAGCATCCTGGATTTGTCTTCCTTTTTCTGATTTTTTTCATTGAGCTTAATCCCCTCCATTCCATATACGTTATTGCAATTGGCAAAATTTCATCTCTTCTTATAGCTCAGTAGTGTTCCATTTTATATATATATACACACACACCCCATCTACACCCCATCTTGTTTATCTACGCACCTATTTTTGGATACTTAACATGGTTTCCACAACTTTACTACTATAAATAACAGTAAACAAGGGGTATTTTCCCCCACATCTTCGCCAACACTTACTTCTATTTTTTCCTACATTCTTAATAAGTGTGAGGTGGTATTTCATGGTTTTGATTTGCATTTACATGATAAGTGATACTGAGTGAATCTTACTTGTATATTTTAATATAATTATTGGTAATACAGCTTTATCAAATAGTGACACTTTCCATTAAACAAGATTCAAAAAACACATTTGTTAATATCCCACTTACAAGAAAAGTCCTTCAGCACTGGGAAGTTTTCAGTGGTAGATAAAATTTTTTCAATGATTTTATTTTTTTTTAGGATTTATTTATTTATGCATACAGAGCTGGGGTACAGGTCAGAGGTGCAGGGGCAGTGAGAGGATTCACCAGAGACAGAGTGGGGAGCAGAGGAGGCAGATGGATGAAGTACACTGCTGCGGAGAGCAGTGGGCGGGTCAGGAGAGGTCTGCCCGCCATGTGGATCACCCCCGGGGTGGGGATCGAACTCAAGCTGAAGTGACTTTAGCATCTCAGTGCTGAGCTTTAACCCGCTGCGTCACCAGGGAGGGCCCCAATATTTTAATTTTTACTGAAAAATTCACATATAATGTGGTCAGATATGCCTAGAAGTGATATACTTACTTCATTTATTTTTCTAGTAATTATCTGCCAAAAAACTACACATGAATGACCATCATTCATCTATCAACTGCCTTTGCAAATAAATGTGGTATTCTGTGGCAAAAGCTAGTTAGTGCAGCTCACCTTCCAACAGTCAGTGGTCTGCATGTGAAAGTTGCTTTATTTTAGTATCTAGACCTGTGCATGGACCTCCCATTTTGTCACATAGAATATTAAAGTATGTGAGTTCCAATGTTGAATCTTAAGAAAATCGGTATCTCTTTTGGGTTCATCAGGAACTTCTTAATGACACTGGTCTTTGTGTTTGGTTTCTGTTGAGTGGGTACAGTGTAGAACACAGCCACAGATACATGGGTTTGTGTCACTGCATTAATTTATGGCTTTGTATCATCAGAGCAAATGTCAGCACAGAGAAAAAGGCAAATATTATAATTAATCTTACAGAAATATTTTCATGCTCGAGGATAGGGCCTCAGAATACCCCAGAGTTCCACAGACTATATTTTAAAACTGCTGTAAAAACACCCATCACTCAGTGAAATGGGAAGATTATTCTGACACAACCGAGGAAACAGCAGGGGCTATTGATACCCTGAGAGAGCTGAGGGCACATTGGGTCCGCACGTGTCAGCACCCTGAGGTGGCTCATTCATTGTTCTAGAAGTGCTCTCTCTGCACAGGACAGTGATACCCCAAATAAGACCATATGTCTTAGAAGAAAACCACCTCCTCGCAAATCTATCAGAAACCTACTCCTCAGCTCTCTAATATGTTGGGAAGTAAAATCTGACTCCATCTAAGAGTTATGAGTATTAGTCTTTACAATGCTGCAACTTCTAACAAAATAGTCAATAATTAATGAAAAGTTTATATATAAAGACTCCTCCAATTGTGACTCACTTTTCCTTGCCAATTCATATTGTAGCCTAAAGTTATAAATGATACTAAATTATATTTAAATAGACAGTTTAAGTGTTTATTATTGTGACTGCTTACCCAATAAACTGAAATTATTTGCTCCCATTGTGTTTCAACATTTAGACATTTATCTCACAAAGTAATTTTTGTTTGTCTTATATAAAACTACTTTTCAAAAATCAAGATCATTCCTTCTCATTAGGGTTAAGAGATTTGAGTACAAAACACTGGAATATGAAATGATTTTCTATTGAGGAGGGTGGACCACGGTATTTTCTTTGAAAGCCTTGGGTTCCTCTCCCTAATAGAACTCTTCAAAATGAAATTATTCCTATACAACATGAACAATCTGAGTTTTTAGTAAGTATCCTATGATTGCCATTCAGAAACATCAAGTCAAGAAGCAAAATCCTAGAAAGTAGAAATTCTCCTGGTGGCTTACTTTTCTCTCGTCTGTTGGGTAATGGGTTGCATACCACAGGCTCCGCCTCCTTTCAGCTGTGATTTGGATGGGGCTGCAGGCCAGTGATTGCTCCTCCTCCTTGGTCCTCTCATCCTGTACCTGAGACACAGAATTAGCCACGGGATCAGCTGTGCTCTGCAGAGTGCTTCTCTCGGCAGCTCAGACATTTCAATGTGATTGTTTTTTAGTTAATTACACTACACACACACACACACACACACACACACACACCCATATAACTTTTTAAGGTGGGAAATTTGCTGCCCTATAAGTGCTAAGTAGGTCAGTATTGTATCCTGATTCTTACTCCATCCTATATATTACAGGAGTATGTCCTAACATTAAGTATATACTTCATTTCAATATAAATTCAGAACTGCACTAAAAAGATATTGGATGGATGGTTATTAGATGAAAAGCTTGCAAGAAAAAAAGTGCACTATTAGCTGTATAACCCAGCCATGGATAATTTTTAATTAAGAGATTTGTTAAAGGCAGAATCTTCTGTTATTTACGTACTACTAAGCAGGAACTTAGCTAATCACAAGCTGTTGACATTGGTCTAAATCAGACAATTGGTTTAGAAAAGGTGATAGAGGGGCTAAAGAATCTGAATGCTCCCATGAGAGCATTGACATACCACTGACACTGGGGCAGAGCCAGTAAACTTAGCCTGAAGGCCAGCTGTCAGCTTCCCATGTGGGTGTGAATTCACTAATATTTTTTAAGTTTTTATTTATTTATGCCTTCAGAACTTGGTGCAGGCCAAAGGAGTGGTGGGTGAGAGGCTTCACCAGAGACAGAGTGGAGAGCAGAACAGGCAGATCGACAGAGTACATGGCTGACGGGAGCAGCAGGTGGGTCAGGAGAGGTCTGCACGCCATGTGGGTGAGCTCCCTGAAAGAGGATTGAACTGGTGCTGCAGTGGCTTCGGAGAGCTTCATTAATGCAAAGCTTTAACCCGTTGCACCACCAGGGAGAGCCCTGAATCCTCTCTTTACGGGTCTCTGTCCACACAGCACAGTTAAATCATGACAGCTACTTCCCTCTCTCTTTCTGAGGTAGAATTTTATCTCAGAACTATCTAACACTTGCTGGCTAACATCTTTCGTGAAATGGGCCAGGTCAGTGGAACTACAATATCATCGGCAAGCTGTCTCCCATCATTGTGTACTGTGACTTAGCCCATTTAAATACAGCAGACTGGAGTGTATGACTGGGCCCTATTGTCCAAATACTCCTCCAGCCACCCATTTGTAGTGTTGCTGTTAACTCTGTGGTCCACAGCTAGATTGTCTGCCTTCCTTTGTCCCCAGACAGCCTGTGACAAAGTTGAATGTCACTCGGGTCTGCAGGGCTCTGCACAACTTGAGACGGCAACATCACAGCATCGGCACAAATGTTCCTGCTTGAGAGCTACCACTAAAACTGAGGGATTTGTACCAAATACGATGCTTTACTGTAACTTCCAGCACTTACAGAAATAGCTCCTATGATTTTTCTTTTGTATATAGGTGTTAACTGTACACAGATGCATATACTTGTCTAATATATGAGTTTGTGGATGGAGTAAATACAATAATTACTTCAAAGGACCACACTGACAAGCTTCGGCTTTAGAAGAGACTTGGAGAAACGATGTGACAGAAGATGCTTTGGACCCCTTAGGGCCCCAGAAGGCATTCTGTTGCGATGCAACCACCATCAGTAGGCCCCACTGGAACATGAGTGCTCGTTGGAGCTGTTTCCTAATGTGTTGGCTTATCCCCTGGTGGGTAGAAGAGAGTTGACAACTCTTGTCTATACCACTTGTTGTCTTCATGTACCAATAAGCTACATTGCAACTGAGCTCCGGTGATCATTTGGGGAGGAAATAAACATGAATGAGGTTTTCTAATACTAAAAGGGAAAAGACAGAGTCACACAGCACTTCTGGTCCTGACTTGAAAAGTGCTATGTTCTTGTCATCATTCCCACAGGAAACAAGCCAGGCTTCACTATGTATGAAAGAGATGTCCTAATCCCCTGGCCTCATGATGGGATGTCACTGGGGGCTGAGTTATCTCTGTAACATCTTCAGAGGGAGGACAGAGGTCTAAGAAGATTTGGAGAACTGACACTCTAGCTTTGTTGCCAAACATAGGTTGGATCAGATTTCTGCTGTTCAGTAAATGCGCTGTCAGAACAATTTACCTCTCTCAGCTAATTTTCCTCATCTCTGAGAACAATACCAATTCTGAGTTTTTTTTTTTTTTTTT